GTCTAACAAAGATCGTCGTGGCAGAGGGACGTACCGAGAAAAGGCATAAGTTTAGTTTGGACGCCGCCCACTGAGATGACTTTTCCGAGGTTCAAACCTTGGGAGACGGGGGCTGGGTCATCCTGAGTCTTCTGGGAGATGGAGCTCCTCCTACACTCACAGCACAGGAACACATAGTCTAATGCGGGTCCATGTCTCTCTACACAGCATGAGACACGCAGAGTCTAATGAGGGTCCATGTCTCTCTACACAGCATGAGACACGCAGAGTCTAATGAGGGTCCATGTCTCTCTACACAGCATGAGACACACAGAGTCTCATGAGGGTTCATGTCTCTTTACACATTGACAATACAGGCAGCCCACGACTTGCGAACGCCAGTACTTACAAACCAGCTTCCATTGAATATAAAAAATAACATTGATTGAAAGTGCAAACTCGCAGTTGCAAACTGAACCGCATAACTATTTTGTTCAGAGGAGCGATCCTCTGCCAGATGTAATGAGTCGGCCTCGTGCTGGGAGTGTTTGCGTGTATACTAACATTGTGTGTGTGTGTGTGAAAGTGTGGGGGGTATGTGATGCCGCCGCCGCGAAGCCGTTCGGCAGGCGCCAAATCCCCGACCTCGCCACCACCAAGCAACGGAGCCGACCCCGCGTCCCCCTCACCTCACCTCACATGAACACACCCGCACTCATTTTCCCCGCCCATAGAGCTCCGAGGGGAGGTCGCCTGGCCGACCGGTTTTTATCCGAGAAACCCTTATCGGGGTTAACTCTCACGGTTTCCGGCGATCAGGGAATTGGACGACCTCCCCCGTGCTATGTTGCGCCGCGGCGCTGCGACCAGCCTTAATATGGTGTGGTCGCGGCATGGCGCATTCGGCCACCGCGGTTGAGGCGCATTTCCCCCCACACACACCCTGTTGTATCTGTTGGTTATCGAAATTTGTTATGTTGTATGCGTGCGTGGGTGAAATATTATGTTGTATATGTGGGTTATGAATATTCAGTGAAAATAATAATAATTAAATGAAATTTGGCCAAATGTGTAATTATCCGGAAATATGTTAATTTATGTAATTATGCACATTTTAATTATGCCAATTCGAGAGGTAATCGTATTAATTATGCGAGTGGGTGTAAGTATGCAAGATTAACTTAGATTAACTCGGCATCGTTGTCTAGGTTCGTCTCCTCTCGCTTTAACATTCCCAGAGGGTGTATTCGTGGTTATATTTTAGGTCCCCGGTTCACCCCGTTATCGCTTTAACATTTACTGAGTATGTATTAGTGTGTTTATTAAGGTCACCAAGTTCAGATCTCAACGCAGAAGCAGATCTTATGCATAGATTTCAGGAAAGAATCACACAACCACTTCTGTATTGATCAATTTATTACTAATTCAACCTTAACTATGATATAGTATGCGAACTCTCAATCCCGGAACGTCAACACGGCATCAATACAGTATCATCAACGATTGTCTGATTTCACTTTGACAACGGCACATGGATCCCGCATAACGCGATGGTTGTTAGTGAGAGAGAGAGTCGTTAAAATATGCAAATACTATGCTAAGAAAACCTAAACGTTAATGAATGATTATACTCAATATTGTTCACGCAGTACCGCACTCCTTATTGATCATACGCAACCCTTATCACGTTGTTAGCACCTTGGGTCACGGGACAGTTGAATATTCTGTAGAGGATGCGAGTACGTGCGGCGATTATGACTGAAAGATACTTGAAAGATTATACGGCGATAAAAAAAAACACAATCAAAAACAGTTATTATTCTTAAAGGCACCAATCTCAACAGATACATCGGCAGGTTATCTGACAACAGAACGGCTCGGAGTAAGGGCCTGCGACGGTGCTCCTTTTCCGAAGATCGTTATCTTATACCAAGTTTACTAATTGGGGACCAGATCACCTGATAAGGATCCGGTGGGCCACCACTCCCCACGTGACTCGGCGGAAGGAGGTGCCAAGAATCAGTTCGTATTGATGGATCTGTTGGGAATTTATGCGATTAAGAGTACAGCCCACTAAATATTAAAGATACAAATTACGAATACTCTTATAAACGACGGATGGCCATCACTCGGTCTCGTTGTGATGCCTTCCCAGCCACGGATGGCTTATGGGTTCGAGTGTGTTTGAGTGGTAAGAGTTGTCTTGAATAGTCAGTGTTCGGAGTCGATTCTTTGTGTCAAACAGACGCCTGGTGGTCGTGTGGTGAGGGGGCGGTGCGTGTCATACGTATCAGTCGCTCCCCTGTCACCGTGGTGAACTGGTTCGGATGGCTGTTGATACGCTGTCGCAGTTCGGAACCCGGTCGGTAGGTGGCGCCCACAACCCGCTCGCACCGCGCAGCTCTGGGTCGTCGCCAAACCGCGATGCTCACCACTCCGGGCGGCAGCAGAGACCTCCGACTCGGCAGAGGTTGACGAGCTGAAGATGAGTCGAGCCGACCCGCTGGTCGCAGCTCGCTCCTGAGCCGACCCTCCCGGTCGAGCTCGCTCCTGGGTCGACCCGCTGGTCGCCCTCGCTCCTGAGTCGACCCGCTGGTCGCACTCCTGAGTGGACCCACTGGTCGCACTGGTTTCCAATGCTCAGGATCCTTCCCTTTATGCCGAAAAATCCCCCTGGATCCCGCCCACAAGGCGGGACTTCTTTCGATTTTTGCTGTGTCAGGATCTGTCCGTAGGCAGGTGTGTCCATGTGTGTGTCCGTACGTCCGTATGTCCTTGTGTGCATCACCCACGGTATATTCCGTTGTCACACTCCCTCCATAAACCCACGAGCAAACAATCAGATGTTACAAATTGCCTCGAGGTCGTCTCTCTGTCTGGCCTTCTTCATGAACCCAAAACACAGACGTTACAAATGTCTCATAGGCGTCTTTGTTCGCACAACCTGGAGGGAGGGGCAACGCTCTCTCCGACCCGGCACACAAAGAAATGGTTAAAAAGTTTTAAGTTAACATTTGTCCCTTATTATTTCACAGTTATGATTCTGTATGTAACCTAAGGTCTGTTGTTTCCCATCGTGGTGCTTGACTCAAGTGGAGGTGTTTCCCCGAGCGTATACACACTCCTATCCCGCGCTGCGGGGATACAAAGACGGCCGGGATCTCCCTTTCTCTCCGACCCTGGGTTTAACATCGTTTTTTTATTATGTATTATATTCGACCTGGTGGTGATTCATCCCGTTATCCTGGCTTTCATAAGTTTTACTTTGTCTTTTCATGCATATGCTTATTATTATTAACTTATTTCCGATATCTTAGGTCAAGGGGTAAGCTTCTTGATCCTAGGAATTCGTATTCCTTGGTGTCTGCATGGTTATATAAGCGGAATATAGTTTACGGTGAATAGCGTTAACATTGATGTTATGTCCGATATTATGTATTGTGATGTCTTTAACTTAACTTGTTTGTCAGAGCTTTACTGACACGAAGTTGCATTTCATAGCCCCGCAGTCTTTGCCCCACCCTATCTCTGCTCGCCGTGGTTGTTGCCGTCCAGCTGACGCCGTTAACTCAAGGCCTTATTAATTTCCGTCACTCCTTGTAGGTGAGGGCGGTTGAACCTTGGAGTCAGTTCTGGTTTTTGTCTGCCTGCTTCTTCTTGTGTCCCCTGACCCCGGGAGTTATTATTCCTACTTTATGGCCTGTCGAAGCCCGACTCGGTTGTTGCTGGGCTGGTGTTGTTCCCGGCTTTTTGCTTACGTTTGCAGTTCGCCGTGCTCTTAATTTCCTTCCCTCTTCAACCTTATATCGACTATTCGCTCCTGTCTGGGTGCGATTCAATTTTGACTTAGGAAGGTTCTGATTGTCATATGCTTCGGGTCGAGTTGTATAGAAAGTATTAAAGTATGGAAATAACATTTCATTGACTTAACGATGGTGATGGTTCAGTAGGCGTAACTTGTGGCCTGGTTTAATTGGAGTGGGTGTGAATATCAATAACTTTAGCCTACCCTGTTGTTAAATTCCGACTTTAACGTTACTTTAATAGCAATACAGAATAATTGAGCTTTTTGTCTTAACTAGGCGAATGCGAACTTCTGGTGACCCCCGCAGCCTTGTTATTCAGCTGGGTCTTGCCCGCCTTGAGAGATATACAACACTCTTTTAAATCAGCTCACTCCCCTGTGCACACAGCCTTGAGCTGACCCACTTCTTTGTTCCCTCAGTGTGCACGTGTTCTAACTAGCTCGGAATCCCTGAACACACAATCAGTGATGATTCCTGGCTTTCTGTGGTTGTGATTTAGACAAAGGCGCCTCTGTTTTCTTCCATTGCCTTTGAGTCGACACTGCCCTATTATTTGCCCATGTGCTGAGGTCATAGAATTCGTTTTGACTTCAGTAATATTAACATTCAGTATTGGATTAGCAAATGGGCAATGGTTCATTGAGGTAGCTCGCAGCCTGGTCTCCAATTTGAGCGAGCGCGAGGATCGATAATTTAGCCTACTCTGTTGTTGAATTTCGAATTTTGACGTTACTTTAAAACAATGCGGATGGTTGGGCTTTTTGCCTTAACTATGTCTGGCTGACACTCCCACTGTCTCTGCCGCCTGCACGGGTGACATGTGCCCGTTCATCAGGCCTTATCTTCCCTTGAAGCAAGGTTGCAAATTCTGCCATCCTAGCCCTCCTCCAGTTCATTACTTAACAACACCTGGTGTTTTGCAGTTTGGTGCGCTTTGGTGTGTTCCACTCATTAAAAAAACAAGTAAAAAGATAATATATAAAAATCATCAAATATTATAAATCTTAATTTTGGAAGAAGGGTTAGGATACAACATTCCGCCCTTTTAAAAATGACCAGTGGTCAAATGGCCACGGGTTATTTTTAAAAAAATGTATACCCTTCTTCCATCATGAACCATCGATTGTCCTCAAGTTTTGCTGCTATTCCTTACAACGCGCGCGTACGTGTCACAACTTAACACGGTTATATGTGACAAGAGAGGAAAAAAAAAAGAAAAAAATTCTAAAGGAAGGTAAAACGATAAGGGAGGGAAAAATTATTCTATTGACTACGTGTTATAGGAGATATCGTTAAAAAGATAGTCTCTACGGTTATTCTTGGGTGGCATCATCAGGCCTTGGCTCTATCCCTGTTCCTGGGCTCGAATGGTAGGTGGCTTGTGCCTGCGATTAGTCTTTTAAGTTCGGCATTCATTTTGGCCACATGGTATGTTAAGGTTAGAATAGCCAGGACTAGTATGATCATCCCTGTTGCCCCTGTGATTCCCATCCCCATCTGTTGATTTCGCTGATATCCAGCCACTTCGGTCGCCCAAGTAAGATCTGTTATGTTAATCTCTGATTCGCTGAGGGATAATTTCACCATATGGAATTCTTTACTGTTCAACAAGTTGGACAGAGTGCTGCTTATCTCAAACTTGTGGCCTCGGAATGTGTCTACTATTTCTACCTCCGCTTGGTGTAGGCTTTTGTCTAGGTTATATAATACCTTGTCCCCTATGCGTACGAATGTTCCTCTTGGTATTGTGACCAGTGCGACGTGGCTTGGAATCGGAACTTCCATGGTTATGGAGTGTTGATCGGTGGAAACAATTGCCGTGTCTAGAGGGGTGCTAATCAACCACTGGGCATTAGCTATCATGGCCACTGTTCCGGTTCTTTCTTTGGGTTTACTTAGCTTAAACTTGCAAGCTTCCTTGGAGCTTAGGTTTGACAGACCACACATTAGTTCTGCTGTATTGGTCAGAAATGGTTCCCCTGGGCAGAGCCAATGAACCTCTTTCATTATTTGACACAGGTTTAGGTCAGGCACCAGGTACTTAAGGGGGCCTTCTTCCTGGTAGGCCACCACTAAGGGAGTTTCCATCTTGGAGTAAATGTCGTTATTCCATGTACCCACGTTCAATACTGTCCGCAATCGAAATACATTTCCGGGTTTGACCAGGGGTAAATTTAGCAAAAATGCCAGCTGTCTAGTTTGGGGGTCCACATGTATGGGTGTGGCTGTACCCATGTTGAAGGCAATTTGTACTTGAGTTGGACTGATTGTTTCCGGGGATGCTGCTTGTAGCACATCTTTTATCAGTGTTGGAGTTACCAGATATGACGGAATTTGTCCTTGTATAAGATCACTGACGCTGCCGCTGATGCTACGCAACAAGTCTTGGATCACCCACTGAATTGGCTCTCGAATACTCTCTTCTTCGTATAGACCTCGGATTGCAGAACTCAATTCTTGGAATGTTAAGTTAATCATGATAGAATGTAGGTTTACGAGAACCACGGTGTCTCGGAGGGTGGATCCCATTTCGACCAGATTCTTTTGTTGGTGTTGTATTTGCTGATGGATCTGATGCATATCGAGCTGTAAATTCTCGATACCTTGCGTGAGGTGTCCAATCTTTACGGCGTTGGATATGGAAACTCCTAGTGTGATTAAGGAGCTAAAACCGGATAGTATTCCAAAGACCCCTCCCAGGCCGATAGACCTCTTGGAACGTGTTAGGTTGACAGTGGTGGGGGGAAGTATCATGGTTCTTTGTAATTGCTTCAGGATCGTTCCGATATTCTGTTCACTATATCTTAGGAAGTCATAATACCATATTCGGGTTGCTTGGGTGGCTTGGGGTGGTAACTTCCCGAAGTGCTTCTTTACCACCAAGGCAGGTTCCAAGGAGACATAGACTTGTTGGGTTACTATTTTCGTTTCGGTTACTAGGAAGCTGGAGGAGTCTCTCAGCATCACCCCGGATTCTGGTCCTGGCTTGATCAGCTCTTGGCTCCCTTCTAGCTTGGCAAGGTACGTTAGCAGGAGCGTGAGCAGGAGGGCTGCCATTCCCTGGAAAACATGTTACATATTATTGTAGTGTGATAAGCCCATTAGTTTAGTTCCCCCCCCCTTTTCCACCTTTATTCCTCATCTCGCTCCACCAGCACAGGGTACGGTTTGATTTGGTTGATGTGCACCCACTTGTATTGCTGCTCTCTTCCTGTCTTTGTGATTTTTAGCTGATATACGACTGGGGACATTTTGTCAACAACCTCGTGTGGTCCTGTCCAGGAAGGCAGGAATTTCCTGCACTTCTGTTTCGTATCCCAGTCGCGGCCCGTGGTAGACACATATTTCTTTAGGAGGCTCACGATGGTCCTGTTGGCTCTTTCCACCTGTCCTGAGGATTGTGGATGGTATGCGACATGTAATTGTCTTTTTACTCCCAACATCTTCCACACTTCTGTGATGACCTCGGCTGTGAAGTGGCTTCCTTTGTCTGAATCGATCGTTGACGGTAGGCCCCATCTACTGAATATTTGGTTAATCAGTAGTATAGCGGTTGTTTCCGCGGTGTTGTTGGGTGCTGGTAAACACTCTGTCCATTTAGAGAATGCACAGGTCACAGTTAGCATGTACTTGTTCCCTTTGGTTGATCGGTTGACAGGTCCTATCCAGTCGATTTGTAGGTTGGACCAAGGATAATCTGTTCCCCTCCTCTGTAGGGGTGCCCTATGCTGTGAGGTCGTTGGCTGGTACTTACAACACACGAGACAGTTGGACACATGTTTGTGTATGTCTTCCCCCATTTTTGGCCAGTAGGCCACCTGTCGCAGCATCTGTCCCGTATTCACCTCGCATCGGTGGCCGCTGCACGGTTCATTGTGGGCGTGTTGTAACATTATTTCTCGATATAGAGAGGGGACTACCCATCTAGGTCGACCGTCTTTTTCGTTTGTGTATACCAGTAGCCCTTTTCGCATTGAGAACCTTTTGATTTGGCTATGCATGATCTCGAGCTCTTTGTTGTCATTCAAGTTGTCAGTAGTGATTGGTTTTCCTGCTGGATCTTGGATATGATCGGCGAGTGTCTTTAGTGTTCCGTCCTCTTGTTGCATTCTGATCAGGTCTTCGGATGGCTGGGCACTGTTCAATTGGGCTCTGGTTCCAGCTTCTGCCGGGTTCTTCCCACTTCTTGTGACCAGTCTTATCACGGCGATGTCTTGGTTCGTCGACTCTTGTTGTCCGTCTCTGTCGGTTTGGTCTTCTAGCTTCCACGGGGTGCCTTCCAGGCTTCCCACTTTTGCTATGGCATCTGCTTGATCGTTCCCAGTTTTCTCTTGACCAGGTATCTTGGAGTGCCCTTTGACTTTCTTCCAAAATATCTTCATATCCTTGTTCTGAACCATCTTATCTATGGCCTCGAATAGTTCTCGATGGTGAATTGGTTTATTCCTATGGTTCTTCATCTCGTTTTTTTTCCATATGGGTAGGTGGTGCAGGAAGCTGTGCTGTACGTAGTTGGAATCAGTGCACACCACCATGGTCCATATTTGGTTATCGGATGCCATCTGGACAGCGATGTGTACCCCGACCAACTCTGCATACTGGTTTGACTTTGGTCCCAGCTGAAATCCCTCTTGAATCCCTGTGAGTGGGCCAGTTTCCCAAATGACTCCTGACCCAGCGTGAAGCTTGTTCTCCTTCATCTTGGAGCATCCATCGATGTATACCACTGGTAGGTCGGCACATGTCTCCTTCCTGAAGGGCAGGTACCTGTTGTCCTCCGGAGGTATCTTTTCGTCCTCTGCTTCTATGCTGTCAAAGGTACAATCATGTAAATCGGCAAGACCTTGGGCAGTTGGACTTTTCTTGTTTTTTGCGTATTTCACTGTGATTGGTAGGCCTTGGAGTGTCAGTGCCCAGCTGGCTATTCGGCTGCTGGTTTCGCGGCCCTCTCGAATCTTCTTACTGTTGAGGTATGCCAAGGATTCATGATTCGTTTCCAGGATGATCCTCTCTCCGTTCAACAAGTTCCGAAAATGTTGTATGGCCCAGATGTTTCCAAATATCGCCTTCTCACACTCGGAGAACTTCATCTCCACTCTCCGGAGGGCTTTGCTGGCATAGGCAATAACTCGTTTCTCTGCTTCCTGTCTCTGGTACAGTACCGAGCTGATACTATGATCTGAGTATGCGGTCTCCAGGTAGTATTCTTTCCCTTTCTCTGGGTATGCTAGGCAGGATGCCTCTGTGATCTGTCGTTTTAATTCTTTTTCTGCGGCTTCCTGTTCCTGTCCCCACTCCCATGGTTCGTCTTTTTGCAGTAGGTTAACTAAGGGTCGAACGATTCCTGCGTAGTCGTCCACGAACTGTCGAAGGTAGTTGCAAATCCCTAAGAAGCTCCGAAGGGTCGTGACTGTGGTGGGCGATTTGAGTGCGAGGAGGGCTTCAAGTCTTTTGGTTTGGGGTAACATTCCCTCAGTGCCGACCTGGAGCCCGAGGTAGTCCACCCTTTTGCGTGCCCACTGTCCTTTTTGTATTGAAATCTTTGCGCCTGCTTCCTTTAACTGCTCGAGGGTATGCTGGAGGCTCTCGAGGTGTTCTTCCCATGAGGAGTCCTTGACTAGTATGTCGTCGACGTAGACGATGGTGCCTCGCTCTTTTGCGTCGCCCATCGCCTTGTGGAGGAATATGTTGAAGTCTGCGGGTGAGTTCGAGTATCCGAACGGGCAGCGATTCCAAGTATACTGTATTCCGTCGAAGGTGAAGGCCAACTTGTATTGATCGGTTTCTTTTACTGGCATGGTCCAGAAGCCATTTGCTAGGTCCATTGTGGTGAGTACCTTTGCGCCTTTTATTTGGTCGAGACCGTGGTGGATTTCTGCCATTGGCCATCGAGATAGGGGAACTGTTTTATTGAGTTGTCGGTAGTCGATCGTGAGTCTCCATTTTCCCGTGGGTTTTAGTACTGGCCAAATGGGTGAGTTGTAGGTCGAGTTGCATTCCCGGATTATGTTCTTTTTGAGTAGGTTCTCTAGGGTTTCTTGGATCGATTCATAGGCGGCCAGTGGAATCTTGTATTGTTTCACGTATACCGCTGGTGCTCCCTCCAGTGTGGGAATGGATACCACATGTAGGTCGGTTTTGCCACAATCATAGGAGTCTTTGGAGAACAGGAAGTTGTATTTTTGGAGCAGCTGTCGTAGCTCGTCTCGTTGAGTGTCGCTCTCTAGGGCGTCTGCTGCTTCAATTTGTTGTTCTATTTGTTCTTCTATTGTAAGGACTCTTTTCTCTTGGTTTGGATCTAGGGCCTTCGTGGTTTCGGGCGGCTCAATTGAAAGTTCCTTTTGCGTTACTATCGGTTGAGTTGCCTTGGCTTCATCCGAGGGTAATACGCTCTTGCCCTTGTGTTCTCCTTCCTCAGTTTGCAGTTCGTCGGTTTGGCCTCCAGGGGGCGGTATATACTCCATGAGGGGACGGTCATTCGGTGATACTGACTCTAAGTCGGCTTCCTTTCGGTCTTCTCTCAGTCTGTTAGTCATTAGCTGAGTGATTCGAATTCCTGCTGGGAGCTCGTCTTCGTTCGTGATTGTCGTTGATAGGTCGTCGAGCTCTTGTGTTATCACTTGGATTCCCGTGGAGTCTCTCATAACGTCTTCATCTTCTGAGTCCCTTTGTTGCTCCGGCATTGACTGTGCCCAAATTCGTCGGGATTCAAGGTTCATAATGGGTTTCAGGCGATTCAGTAGTTCGATCCCAATAATCAGTTCTTTTCCTGGGTATTGTACGACATATAGGGGATGGTTCATGTTGATTTTGTTGAACGTCAACTTCGTCATAACTTTGCCCAATGGTCGCATGTGGGTCCCTTCACATCCTGATTAGGTAAGTTTACTTGGCATCATTTGTAGTGTTTCATTATTCCTCTGGAGGGCAGTCTGGAGTTCGTCAAATAATTCTCTGGATATCATGGATATTTCTGCTCCAGTATCACAAAGGCCCTGGCTGGTCAGGGTGTCTTGCAGTATTACTTCCACGTGGACTCGTCCGACTGGTCCTACGGGAATCAATTCCCCCAGATGGTACCCTTTTCCCTCTGGTACCACTTCGGTGATTGCTTCGAGGCTTCTTGTCTTCCCTACGTTCACTTGGGCTACCTTTGCTCTGGGTGTGTCCTCCTCCTGTGTGGGTATAGTTGGTATTCTTCCCTTCGCTACTTGCATGGGAGTCTTCATACTCCCTAGGAGCTCTTTTTCCATCCTAATGTGGTGAGCATATCGATTCCTGTTAGCTAACGGTGGTCTATGCTCTATTGCTAGTGGAGGCGGCAGTGGGGGACGATATGGTGACTGGTTTGGTGGGCGTCGGCCTCCGCGGGGTAGGTATGGCCCGTCACTCGCTCTTCCTCCTCCATAATTCCAGCCTCCGCCCTCTTCTGCATTCCATGGTGGTGGCGGCTGTGGGTGCCAGGTTCCTCTGGCCTCGTTCCTCCCCCCACGTGGAACGTTATTCAGCGTGTTGTGGACGGGTGTTGATTCTATTGGGTTAGGCACCCTCTCCTGGGGGAATTCATGTCCACCCCGTGTGGCTCTAATATTATTCCTTGGAGATTCGCTTCCCTCCAGATCGAGGCATTCTTTATCTCTGGTGACGATGTGGGTTTTGGCTATGCCAGTGGTTTCCCGTCCGTTCACCCAGGCCGTGTGGGCCTTGCTTTCAATCTGGCGTAGGGAGGCAGTCTCGGGGTCCAACATCATTCCTACTATTCTCACTATTTCAGGTCTCAATGATTGGAAGAACATCACTTTTAAGACTGTCTTATCTCCCTGGGCATTGTCCACGTCCCCTGCGTAATATGCTTTCTTAAGGCGCAGGAGATAATCTCGTGGGTCTTCGTCTACACGCTGGGTCATCAACTTTGCCGCGTTCAATCCTTCGGATAGTGTGGAGTATTCCCCAAATCTCTTAACTACTGCTCGGCTCAATTGTTTAAAGTCACTCTTCACCCTATTTGGCAGGGAGGCTACCCGTGGTCTGGCGGGTTCATGTAGGCTCCTTGATAATAAACATGCCTTTTCTGCTGATTTACCCAGACCCCGGATCTTAGCCTCCTGTTCTACTGTAGCTATGTGAGTGTGGATATCCCCGTTCTTGTTATGTGGATCGAAATAGGGAATTCTCACGAGTGCTTTGTCCATTAGTTTTAGTGTCTTACTGTTAAAAGTGTGTTGTTCGTCATCAGTGGTGTCGGTTCCTGAGGAGTGCTCCCTTGAGCTACCCTTGTCTCCACTATCACTGTTGTCATGTGTCCCGTGTCTGTGTCGTGATCTCCCTCTGTCCGAGGATTCGTATCTGTCCCGTTGCTTGTGTCTCTTGTTTTCCTTATGTGGGTCTTGTGATTCGTGCTTGTGGGTTGGTGTGCGTGATCTCCTTGAGCGGTGTCTATGTGGTGAGTGTTTTTGTCCTTGACCTTCATGCTGCCTACTACGTGTGTGGTGCCTGCTAGGTGAGGTGTTGTATTTATGTTTGTCTCGTGCTTCATGGTTATCGGGATTCCTGTCTCTGTCATCTGTGGTGCGGGTGGTTTTGCATGGGTGATATTTACATGTCATGCGTCCCTCTGGTGAGCTCCCTCTGTTACCCATGTCGTGTTGGTCATCGTCAGAGGAGTCAGTGTCAGATGAGCCGTCACCATCACGGTGGCTCTGCTTAACATAACTTTTGTAGTGCCTTTTGCACCTGTTACGTGGGTCAACTTGGCTCGGTGATTTCTGCTTACCCCATGGCTCATGCTTGTGTGATGTGCGTCTCTCTGGTGAGCTCCTGTTCCCCGTGTCGTGTTGGTCATCGTCAGAGGAGTCAGTGTCAGATGAGCCGTCACCAT